GTCCAAATTAACCTGTCAGAAAATGGCTACATTACGAAGTGGTACCGAAAGCCAGGTAGTAAAAACATCTTGGCACATTACCTCTCTTCTCACCCCTCTCACACGAAAAGAGCGCTTGTATGAAACATGTTTCGAACAACAACCAATGTGTGCACGGGTAGAGAGCAGAGAGAGGAGTCCCGGAACTTGGCGCGGCAAATAGCCATTTCCAATGGCTACGAAACTATAGCTTGAGACAGGTGTAGAGGAAATCGGAGGCCTCCAAATGACAACTCTAGCGATAAAACGGTCCCGTTTATCCTACCCTTCATCTCAAATGATGTAAGTACAGCTATAAAACGATGCATAAGAAGGGCGGATCTAGAAAATTCGGTAAACGTAGTTGAAATGCCACCTAGTAATCATAGGCGCCAGCTAGTTCGCAATCGCCTATACGACCGTCTATGTGCAACGCAAAATTCCATAATTTAACCCAATGGTAAAGACGGTGATTGCATGAGCTCGGGTATGGTTTGTCTGATCTCCTGTAAGGCCTGCGGAGACGAATACATTGACGAAACGGGCAGACCCTCTGTGTCTGCATAAAGGAACACCTAGCCGGCAAACATAAACTAAATGCCCCACTAGGCACGCATAGGACCCAGAGACATAACGGGGAGGACTTTGAAGTTCGTTTCACGATCCTCGCACAGGAATCAAGAACACAGGCGCGCAAAACTCTCGAGGCGTTTTGGATTAATTCCAGAAATCCGAAAATGAACCGCAGGGAAGAATGCTTCATTATCATGCGTGATATTGGACAGTACATAAATCTGTTATTCTGATGGGAGGGGTACATTACGCTTCCATGTGAATTCTGTGCGGTTGGTCTTCACACGACATACTCAGTGGAAGACTCATAGAAAGCGGTGACTGTGCAGAGCTGTGTTAAATGTCATTGAAACCTTGGTTTAGCGTTTTCTCTGTTTGGTTATGGAGGTGTTTGGTCAAATAGATTGCTGTCAACTTGACCTTTCTAGGCTCTGAGGAAGACGAAATCCACCGAAACGTCAACTTGTGCGTAAATAAAGAAACAAAATAGCACCTCGTGTTTACTGAACAGAAGTAGAAAGAACTGTTCAATCAATGCCGAGGTTAATAGAAAGTCGGACGTGAGAGGATGGAGCGTTCGGCGTTGAGCAATCTCTGAGGGATATGCCATGAATTCGGCGTCATGAACCATCGTTAGAGGTCATTGAATCCGTATTTGTATATCTTTCCGGACAAATTTGGTGCCAAGTCGACGAGTCCTGAAGGATGAGAGACTTGGTAAGCGTGGAGGACCGAACTGAACCATCGTCCACGTGTTTAATGGAGAGCAGCTCTAACCGATTCGCTCCACTCACCTCTTAGTGAAGTAGTACAAATAATAAACATTCATGTCTAGAATAAATAAGGTAGGAGATAAAATAAGTACTATACGCAATATAGGAAAAAAATGGTGCGAAATAAATAATGCAGTAATGCATTTGTAATATAATATAAATTAAAAAATGAAGGATAACTCTCTCGGCGTTGATCTACCCCTGAGGGTGGTCCATGCATTCGACCTCATTAAGTTTTCCTTGTGGGTGACTGGAGCCCACTGGGTTATTTCTGCGGATGAGCTATCCAAGCTGAGCTAGTCGTTCCTGTTTTCTGAAAATGTGAGACTAAACGGAAAGTAAAATAATAGATTAGTTGTGTACAAGATTCCAAAAACTAAGGAAAACAAAGTGCTCTTAATATTTACCAAAAGCAGTAAGATGAAAGACCAGCAAATGTTTTCGCCAAGAGTCTCATTAAACGGATCAAGCAAGAGCTGATTAAGACAAAACAGTAAGCGATAACAAAACTCATATGTAACTCATTCTGACCTCGGCTGTTTACTATGGTAAAAAGAAATTTTTTTGTCTTATTTTTGTAGCCTTTTGATAGCTTTTTAGAGCAGATATTGTGGTTGGCTTCAGCCGAGAGCAGCGCCATTAACAACCTTAACTTAACAACCTTCAAAAAAGGCCTTTTCAAGACGAGCTTATGGTTCCGATTTGAATCCCGCAGAGCGTACCTGCACAGTGCTGTGCTTCAAAATATTCGCCTTTTAGAAATTTTTCTATGCTGAGATTTCCGGTCGTGTACGGTTGAGAGCGTGACTATTTTAGCACAATGAGTTCACGGAGATAAAAGTTAATCGATGTAAAGAGCGGCTGTAACTGTTTGTGTTATGACGATGACAAAAATACTTCTGAGTTTAGTACGTTCCCTTCTTTTAAATGACGCGTCTTCACATCTGCTGCATGGATTCCAGCACGCTGCTTGCATTCGATTCGCTTCCTCGAACCCATCATCAACAAAGGTCTTCAAACTATTTTTGCTCGGGGGCTTCGATTACTGCTTGAAAATTTCTTCTTCTTCGTAAATGTCCTTGAATGCTAGTGCAGTCGATTCTCTTTGCATTCGCAAGTAGCTGGGCTAGAGCGTCCTCATTTGGGCTGCAATCGGCTGTTCCCAAACAACTTTGATACCAATTTTTCCAACACGAAGGAACAAAAAGTCTGGTAAGCGCAGTTTGGGATCGAACAGGCTGTGTGGTCATGATGAATATCGTAACTACCACGCCGCTATCCAGCCTTTAAGTGTTTACATAATAAAGAATGATCGCAGAAATTTCATTAAATAGGGAAGTGTAATATAGCGTTAGTCTTATTGGATCCTTTATGATTTCTGAAAACGATCTCTTCTTTGATCATTTTTCTTAATAATCTGTGTTTTTGCACTTCATCAACTGAGCTTTAATTCAATTCAGTCCTGTTGATAATAAAGAACTAAAGTGCTTGCTTATTTACCACTATTTTATTAGAAATACATTGACTTAGCGGATAAAGATCACAGCGTTTATGCACGATCAAGAAAATGCGGGCTATTTTAAGCCTAGACTTCCTTCTTCTAGCGTGAATAAAATTCTCTCGGGCTCAAACCTTTTAGCAAAGTGCTGAATAACTTGTGGTCTACGAAACGCCGAGAGCGTTGCTGTTCATCGATAAGAAGGGTGGAGTGATGGGAAGAATAAATGCTTGCCGTAGGTTTTTTACTTGTTTGTTTCGTGCAAGCTGTCAGGAGCATACGGGGTGAAGTGTTTCGCGTTGGTCGAACCGTTAGAGGTGCACTATGTATTCGACTCCATTAAACATCGTAAAGGTGAATGAATGGGTATTTCTTCTTTTAAGGTGATTTTCCGCTATATATTGGTGCGCTCAATGAATGCTTGCTACTCTCCTAGACAAATTTGATGCTATTTTACTGGCCCATAAGAGATGGAATGATTTTGCTGAGCCCAAGCCGGAGCCGAACCAAGAGAAGGCGGGTATATTTCAGGAATGTTTCAGGCACTGAGTTATGTGCTCCCTACACTGGCCTTAAATGGAGGCAACGACTTTCCATATTTAGTTGCGTTAATGTTTAAATTACCTGATAAATCGCCAGCATAACAACAATGAAATCACTGTGAAAAGTTAGAGTTTTATTCTAGTTCAGCGAATGTTGTTTGTGGCGATTTTCTCATTTCAATGTAATGTTTATTCAACTAGGTGCAGATTAGTCGCAACATTCTAAGTGCAATAAGGGATAAAGGTTACAGCTATCCGCATTCATCAATTCCTGAGGGACGCGCTATGCATCTGAGTTCATTAAGCATCGTTGCAAGTGATTGAATGGATATCTGGCCTTTACAATGACTCGCGGTGGCATAGCCATGTATGGGGTGTATTCTTCTATCCTCCCAGACCTGAGGTATCAAATTGCCGACCCCGGAGGGATGGAAGACTTGGTGAGCAAGGGACGTGGGTATCGATTCCACGTGTGTATTGCAGGGCGCCTCCGACCACTGCCCCACACGCACCCTTCTAAGTGAAATACAGAACTGTATTACTCTTCTTACCACAAGACCGTTTTTGTGCAGCTAGGTTACTGTGACAGTGTGTACAACAGTAGCCAGCTCAGTGCAACACCTTTGCTTCGTCCTCATAGAATCACTTGCTGGTTGGACTTCAGAATAAAACCTTAGTTAGATGTTTGGTACCAAATGCCCGTCCCCAGAGGAATGAGAGGCTTGATGAGCACGGAGCAAGATCGAACCACTACGGTGCTCGTGATGATTTTCGTCACTACCGCAGCGCCACCCGCTCTCAGTTTTCTACTAAATGCTTGAGTAAAATCGGCATTCACCGTGGCAGAAAAGGATTTTGTAGCACAATTGGGTTAATCAGGATGTCATAGTTTTATTTTTTACTTTGTGTACATCTAAAAATATTTTGTTGTCTAAGTCCACTTCGAACCACTTTATCTTGCAATTCAAGTTCTCGCTACTACTAGAACTTTGCAAAAATTGTGTCGCCTGTTTTAATTCAACTTAAGCAATTTTTTAAATTCAAATTTAATTTTTAATTTTTCTTTTAACTTTTAAGTCTTTTAATTTGCAAAAATGAAAAAAATAAAAGAACCTTTCGAACTTCGGACTCTTTGCGTATGGGTTCGGCTGATTCTTGAGGATTTTCATCTTCGTCGCGAATGTCGTTGAATGCTAATCGAGTCGGTTCTCTCTCTAGTTGTTGAATAGGCGAGCTAAGCGCTTCCACTTTGTGTGCAAGGAGTAGCATCTCCCCAGACAACTATGATAGCAATATCACAACCCTGGAGTGATGAGAGGCTTGGTGATTACGGAGCTAGGTCCAATCAGCGCTTGCGTGGGTTGAGCCATCCGCGTAGTGGGTGGGATCACTGTCACTGCGCTTCACAAAAACGTATGAGGTTTTCGTGGATGGTGAATGCTAAGAATCGGAGCGAACACAAGAATAGCTGAGATGCACACAGTGCGATACATGAATGTTGAGTCATGCAATAAACGAAATAGAAAACTAAGCTTGATTTTAAATTGTAAATCTAGAAAAAGGAAACACGTTCCATTCTGTTGACTTTATCAGGGTTCATATCGATGTTTCTTCTACTTGCTGCTGTTGATAAATCAGTGCTAGATGGTGGTGACGGCATGGTGTTAGCCGTCTACGACATCTAATAAGTGGACGTTGATCTAATTTTGACGCTTCTCCGAGCCATCCGTCCATAGCCGACGCTCCGACTTCCTGTCGTCCTTGACTAGCGGCCGCCTCTCCAGAATTATCCGCCTCTTGGCTGACTTCTCTTTTGAGTTCGATCATGGATGGCTGCTCACAACTCATGCTTGTCATTGTCTAGTGATCCGCCGTTCTCGGCGTTGTCTCCATCTTTCGTTTCAGCACTTCATCGAACCCCACGAGTAAAGCTATTACGTTCAGTCTGTTGTCTCTTATGAGTGCTTCAAAACATCTTTTATAACGTCTACGTCTTTGAAAATATTTATCTAGGCGATCTAATCATGAACTAAGAAACATTTCCAGCGTTATTCATGAGGAAAAGCAGTTGAAAAAAAGTTATAAGGATAGGTAGGATTTGTTGAACTCTCCTTGTCTTTGTGTGCTTAATACTGATTATCATTGATCGAGTCAATGAACGAAGCGGAGAAAACTTTTCTGTCTCTTGTTTTCAATGAGTTGGTAGCAGAAGGGTGAAGGCCTTAGCTGCAGTTAGCTTAACCAATATGTCAAAACCGTAACAACTTCTTTGGCAAACTGACAAACACTCACCAACACGACGACACGCCTTTCTGTAACTGGCAATTGAATGCCTCGTTTCCAATCTCGTAATGTTTTTATTACCAATTGCTTACCTACAGTTCCATGTTGGAGTTAGTTCATTTGTAGGCTACTCTGTGTGCGAGACGTTTTACAGGTACTACACGACGTATTCTTTTTCAGTAATCCTCTCATTTATACTTTGACCAGAAGGTATCGCCTACTTTAATTTTCGTTGGTGATGGACATGCTTTTTGTCTAGGAACGAATTAAAAGCAAAGCAGTAAATAATTCAAACATGAAAGAGGGGTGAGATTTTTTTCGGCAGATATTTTGTGAAGAAAGAAAAAAGCAGACCTTTCAATAGCTGAGTAAAGCGGACGAGGTCCAATGTTGTCTGTGCCGCTCATTCATCATTTCCGTTCATTTTTCACTATTGTCTCCTACTAGGAAGGACATTTTGCCCTTCTATTGGGAATTAAACTGGGAAGAACCAGGATAGTTCCAGTCTGTTGACGAGTGAAAATATTCGACCAGAAACACCAATCTTGGCAAAAATGGAGCTCATGAAGCGGGTATTCAGAGACGTGTTAACCGTCATATATTTTCTGCATGCTTATGTGCTGTTACTTTTTAAAGATTATGAGTAACCGTACAGAAATACGTCTTACTTCTGATACCAGTAATTCGCCGACCCCGCCCGGATAGAGGACTTCGAAGGAGTGGGAAGGGATCACAGACCACATGTTTGTTATAGAGTACCTCTAAATACTGCTACAAGAGCCTTACTGTTGCACGCAAGCAACAGTAATCGCCATGAGACCTATTCTTTTACTTGTGACTTTTTCTTAATACATTTGCGACAACGCCTAAATTTCAGCCTTTGTGGTATTGCTGGCTTTTTGAAAATAAACTATAATACTTCGATAACTGGAGGACGATCTATGCTTGGTCATTTTATGGATGTGAAGGATGTGTGTGCTACTACTATTTACTGTATGTTATCATGCAAATGCATTGCTGCTGGCGCTGAGAAAGCTTCTACAGCTTAACTGAGTCTAGTTCGGTATTTTCTACACCCGCAAATTCCCTATATTGCCCGTCATTCATCCTTAAAATTAAAATGAAACAGTAATTATGTGTTAGTCGAATTGCCGTTCATTGAACTTTTCCGAAAAAAGGTGTTTTCTAAATTACCAGCTAGAGAGCGCGGCTTTTTTGCTCTGACCTCTTCTGCACTGCTCCCTTCGGTAAGCTCTCGAGTAGCGAAGAAGCATTGCGCGCAAAAATCAAACTTCAGAGAGAAAATGACCTATATATGGATCATACCTCCTATCGCCACGTATGAATACTATAGTGCCCATGTCGTCGCGCATGGGATAAATATAGCCGTTTGGCAGCAAACCTTTCAAAATCATACCAGTCTGGATATCAACAACCCGAAAAATGCTCGTATGAGAAAGCATAGAATCTATAAAGAGCTATTCGTTTATATTACGGGTTAAAAGTTGCCTCTACACTTCTAAGCCAAGCACTTTTCGCTCCTATTTCACTCAGTGTTCTTTCGGTTCTCTCATAAGTGTTTACTCCTGTTCAAGTTGTTTCATTGTCACCTAACAGGGAACTTCATGAAGGATGAGACGACATTAGGAAAACGGTTCGGGCGATTATCTTATTGCCTGAACCATTCCAAATAACTCCCGTTGCAGTTCACAACTCTCTAATGCATAGTAAATTCGTATGCCCTGTCGATACAAACGTGTTGGTACTACAAAACTTAAACCTTATATAAGAGGTAGAATTGTTTTGAGCTAAGAAAGCAACTGATGTTTGTCTGTGGCAGGCGATGAGCATCTGCTAGCATGGCGATGAGCGCGGTGCTGATGTCCGTCGTCCTGCTTCAGAACGTCGTGGGCCCGGTGCTCGGCGGCGACGGCGAGCGCTGCACGTCAATCGAGGAGCGCAGTGTGAACGAGTGCCTGCAGGTCGGTGAGAAGCACTGCAACAACACTCTCTGAGAGTGACGGAAAGAGTAAAACAAGAGAAAAAGGAGCCAACGAGCTTGCTATTGGCATTCCTACTTTTGCACATTTACTCATTAGTTCATTTTTTCCACATTCAAGCTAATCTACACATGTCAGATTGCCAGTGTGGCATCGTATTCATTGTTAATCAATGGGAAAATATTAAATAAACTTAGGTGTAGTGTAGTCAAAGAATCATTCACAGCAAAAAATTATACAAGAAGAAAATTGAATCAAAATTTTAAGAAGAACATAATAATGTCGAAAAAGAAGAGCATCGATGCAGAACATTTTGTCTGGTACCAATTTGCCGCCGACCCCGAAGGGATGGAGGGGTGCCTGAGGCGCGAGGATCGATCTCATGTGAGTTGCAGGAAACCCCACTGCACTACACGCGCCCTTAAAATTGTCAGAATAGCTAACAATATTGCTACCAATTTTTGTTATTTATATGGGAATTTTCAGTGCTTAAAAGATAACAAAGGCAAAAGTCACGGCCAATAAATAACATTTTGTGACTCTTCTCGTTTTTATTACGTTCGATATTAATATCGTCACTGTCCCTAATGTAGATGGTCGTTACAACGACTGTTCTGATTTTTCTTGCCTTTTTTAAAAGTTAGTATCCAATTTAAGAAGTGCAAGTTTTTCTGTTTGTGTTTGAAACTCTGGAATCTTTTTCTTCAGCCAGTGCTCGACTATGCCGCCAAATTGGAATCAGACACGACCACCTTGCAGTTCCCACTACAAGGAGGCGATGTGTTCAAAAAACTTTGCTCAATTTTCATGAACTTTAAGGTAAATTTAAACTCTGTGCTTCCATCCACATCTCATCTAAGGGAGCATGTAGCGTAATATATGGAGGGGTTCTGCAGTACACAAACGCTTATTTAATCTCGCGTTCCGGACCAAAAAGCCCTATGTCACTTTGAGTTTTGAAAATTCGTATCACACCTCTGTCTGAGAGGATAAAACACTGGCTTGATTCATTAGTAGGCCAACAAATCATTGTATGGGTCGGATATGCATGTAGTCACCACTACGGTACTACAGATGGAGTCAACGGCAGGATGCGTTTTTGATGGGATAACACAAGTGGAACAATGTCTTTCTTTAGGTTTTTGTGTTGACCTACCAGGATAGAATCGGATTTTAAGTCAAAGTTCTCAAAAAACGTAAATACAGTAGGGAGAAGTGTGCGAAATTGCCGTGGTGTGTAGCGTGTGTTCCTCGTGTATACTCCACTGTGATGAGCTGGGGGATATCTGTGGAGGATTTCTGAATGGAAACTGAAGTTTTGCAGAAGTGTGTGGCTCCAATCAGTTGCGACTCGTTGTCGGTGGATGCCATCGAAGCCAGTTACGGCTACATGTGCGGCTCCGGACAGCCGCTCTTCGAGCGGTATGCTGGCTGCTTTGCCAAGGTAAAAACATCTGTCATCTGCAAAAGAACATCAGTAAAAACATTCCAAGCGTAGAATGTGGGAAGTGGTTTTCATTTGAGAATTTCGCATCAGTTGTTTGGAATTTGTTTCTGCTACTTTCCAACAACATATGATATCTAATTATCGCCTAATTGAGCTTCGAACACTATTAGACAATCTGCTACTCATTTTTGTCTCTAGTCTTCTTACAAAAACCAGTTGAGATTTAAATTTTGAATAGGGATCAGTGGATTGTTGTTTTCTTCTTCAGCTATAGCTGAAGCCACTTAAAGTATTCTGCAATTAGGTCGAGCTCGAGGAATCATATATCAGCTGCAAGACGGCGGCGACTCAGGCGATCGCTGAAGCACAGGAAACCAAGGTGAAGTCAAATATATTCAGATTTCTACTCGTGCTTGCAGCTCTTCTTGGAATGCACAACAAACATAGGCCGGAGTGGGTCTGAACGGAAGAAAAACCGATGGCAATGTTTTTTTGTGTTTTCCAACTTCTCCAAAGCGTTGTTGTCCATTAGGTCATTTCGAGTACTCCCTTGCTGTACGATGACAATAGCTCTTGACGTATGGATGCGGAAAAAATGAGTTGCAGTTGTCAAAAGTGCTCACTGCACTTTTTAATGGGCTAGCAACCTCATGCAGTGCAATACACAATAACTGAAGAAAAGCGCATGTTTCACTCCTGACGAAGATAGGCACTAGTCAGCCGACTTCCTGAAAACTGAAAAACAAATTCGAATCTAGGCGAGTAACAAGAGGCCCTTTTGCGAGGGCACAACCACTGCTCGTTCCCTTAATTGAGTTTGAACGATGCTGGAAAAAGAGACGCCGAAGGCCGTTCGCACGCGGGCCATGCCACAATCAGGCAGACTTCGACTGTGCGCCCACTCACTTGAAATAGAATGCTTCAATCGCAGCTTTTATCAAAACATCCAGCCTTCAAACGACATTATTTGCTCAGAATGTGGCTCCGGATTTTGTCAAAGTTTATGGTTCTTTTAAGGCTTTTAAACAAAACCATCGTTATGAAAAGAAATACGCAGTGCTACTATTGTAACATATTAATGAAAATCCAGATATGTATAGAAGCTGCAGAGCAACTCTCAAAAATTATTTTTCATTTTATTTTTGGCGAGAGAGGGCGTAAGGGAGCGTGTAGCGCATTGGGTGAGGGCGTTACTGCGATATGCACGTGGAATCGATCCCCGCGCCCACGGCCCAGCAAGCCTTACATCCCTCAGGAGTTGAAAAATTGATACCAGACTGTCTGGGAGGATAACAGCACTGGCTCGATACATCGGTAAGCCACCGCGATTAAAGGCCATGTATGCATTCAATCACCTCCGACGATACTTAATGAAGTCGAATACATGACGCATCTCTCAGGAATTGATCTACGCCGAGAGCTTTATTTTTGTTTTCTATTTTTGGCACGAATAGTTAGGTTTTTATATTACTGAGGGACTGACTCGAGGTTGTCATCACGTGTCACCAACATATGTCATTTATTCGGTATGTTAATGTCAAGGCCGATATTGGCTTCGTTAGAAACCCAGGTTTTATTCAGCGACAACTCTATCCATCAGGTTTTTTCACGTCAAGCGTTTAGAACTAAGTCTACGGTTCAAGCCATATCGCTAACATCTCTATGATGTGGTATAGACTAAATCCTCTGAAATCTAAATGAAATTTAAAAGCTGTTTTTTAAAGAATGCCGTTTTTACTCATGAAGAATAGGAGAGCTTGTAAGAGTTGAACTTTAATGTTCTCTGTAGCAGCTTCACCGTAGACGAAATTCGTTGCATCATCTGCAATGAGTGGTTGCAGTTACAGTCGACCTCAACCGAAGCGTATCTGGCGGAGATGTGTCGTGCAATGGACGGCTACCTACGCTGTTCACATCCAGTGATCCTCGAGAAATGCGGAGCTGAAGCATGGAAACTAGTATCAACGGTTGGTTCACATGTCATTTTTTTTGAAATATGCTTTGAACGCGATTGCGAATAATGAAGCTAGTGTTCATTTCTCGCATTCTCGGCTTAAATACGTCTCACTAGCAACAGTCTTGGTGCTACTCCGTTGCTCGAAGAGGCGTCTAACTCACAACATCACACCCCAATTCTGCATTGATGCCACATGGGAGACGGCCAGACCCACATAGAACACGGAGATCCCAACAGACAGTAGGGGACACCTTGAGTCATTATATACGCCAGATATGTACTCATTCATTCCCACGATACCCACCAATCAAGTTGAATGCGCAGGGAATCCCCTAGGAACTGATCAACACCAAACGCTTTATCTTCCTATCCATTTGAATTCAATCCTGTGAAATACCATCCACTTTCTTATTAACATGTCAAAGTACTTTTCAACTTATGTGAAACATGCTCTAGTATTTCTTGAACATCCATTCTACTAATTGAACACGATTATCAGAACACAATAACGACTGGAAATGAACAAAAACAGGCAATTACTGCTCAACGATCGTTATAAAGTACACATATCAAACGTAATGAACGATGCTGGTTTCCTGCAAATCCCTACAGCTTTCTCATAGCATGGAAACTTGAGCAGACTTGTTGAAGAGACTTTCCTCTATCGCTTTAAAGGCAACCACTCGAAATGATTACATATCGATGGACTGCTTGCCAAAAATGATAGTAGAGACACCGGAAAGGTGGGAAAACGTGAAATCTTCTTTTAAGAGTTTGAAAAAGGCGAATGGATGAACTGTTGATAATAGAGTCAGCGTTGACATACCTAACAAGGTATTGCATTACAACCGATGGCTCTTCGATGGTTATTAATCTGGATGAACAATTTCACCAGAAAGAAATCGAGTTGATATCACTTCATACCGGCTGATTTATCCCTGGCATGCATGAGTGAGAAATTATTCGCACCGGTCTCTAAATATTAATAAATAGGCGTAAATATATTTGTCTTTATCTGGTCGTACCCTACTATGACTAATATATATTTACATAGAGAGCTCGTGTAGCAAAATGGATAGAGGAGCCTAGCAATGCACACAGCTGCTCATTACTTCGATCTGACTCTGGACTAACCAAAGTTCTCATTGCTTCTCGGTGGAGGAAATGATAACGGTCTCTGGGAGGGCGAAAACAAAAACTCGTAGGCTTTGAAAGTTATCGTATCAGTCAAAAATGCATTTCATCACCTCTGAGATGACTTCAAAGATGTCTAGTGAAGTCAAATACATCGTATACACTCAACGATTAATCATTAACTAGCGTTTTATTCAGTATGCTTTTAGCTGTTTCTCTTCCATTTTTGTCATTTGCTATGCGAATGCTGTAAACGTCCTCATCAACCCATTAGTCAAGCATTTTCGTCTGTCTCTACGTTACTAATCCCATTAGTAATGAACCAACTCAAACGGGCACCAACAAACTCTCTAATCGCCTTTGTCGCTCGCCAGAACTTTCCAGTAATGGGTTCCTCTCATTCAAGGTATAGAACAAACTTTGCCTAGGGGACATAGTAGGACATGGAGTAGTACGTTAACGATGCTCTACTTTTCAGGTGACGCGTGACAGTTTAGGAGTAACAATGCCCGATTGTGACATGCGATCGGCTTTGATTTGAAGCCGAAGTTCACAATAAACATGATTTTCTTCTTCGTTCTGTGTTTCACTAGTTACTCTTTTTTTGTATTCAATTTTACATTTGAACAGTTGAGGCCAATTTTTCTTGCCACTGTAATTTCTTTTTCATTTCCGAAAAGACTTTTCAGGAGGCAAAATACTCCACTTTTATTAAAATGTATGAAGCTCTTTATGCTCTTATTGTTTCAACTAACTCTACGTCATCGTCGTGATTTTTTTGGAGTGATTTGTTCTTTGGGCTAAAGGTTTGTATTTCAAGTAGATGTAGCGCTGATCTAAAATTATTCGTACATTCTCATAGTGCAACCTCTAACCCAATGAACAAATCACTCCAAAACAATCACGATGATGTCTTATAGCAAAAAAATGCAAATAAATGTTTTTCAAATGGTGAAACTTTATGGGATCTTTGGCTGATTAAGAAAGCACCTATTATGCTACACTTATAGAGTGAGATGTCTACGATGTCAAACATGTCAGTTGCCTTCCACAGACATTATTCCAATTAAGTGGAAAAATTTGGTTTCACAGCAGCGGTGAAGAAGTCGTGCACGACGCCACCGAGCAGTAAAATGGAAGTTTGGGGCCCACCACGGAATGAGTTAAGACCGGTTAGTGAAAGAGTCAGGGGCCATAGTACTGGCTTTTCCACCGTTTGGCACTGATACATTATTCTATGATAAATCTAAATAACTTGACATATCGAAAACCAAGCGGTAAGAATACAGTGGTTCATTACCTCACCTCTTATCCCTCACACACTAAAAGGGCGCTTATAAGAAATATGTTTCGAACTGCCGCCAGCGTGTGCACAGGTAGAGAGCAGAGGGAAGAATCCTCGAAACTAGCGCGCCAAGTAGCCATTTCAAATGGTTACGAAACTGTAGCTTCTCGGAATAGGCATAAAGGAAAAACCACGCCCCAGAGCGAAATTCTGGCGAAAACAAGCCTCCGTTCCTCCTTTCCTTTATTTCAAACGAAATAAGTGCAGAAAAAAATGTTGCTTAATAAGAGCCGGTCCAGAGAATTCCGTAAGAGTGATAGAAATACCATCGGGCACTCTAAGACGCCAGCTAGTTCGCAACCGGCTATATGACCGTTTCTGTATAACGAAAAACTACATAATTTACGCTAACGGTAGAGGCGGTGATCGCATGAGCTCGGGTATACTCTATCTGATCTCTTGTAGAGCGTGAGGGGAGGAATACGTTGGCGAAACGGGTAGACCGCTCTGTGCCCGCATAAAAGAACACCTAGTCGGTAAATCTGAATTAAAACCAAACACTCCACTAGGCGCGCATAGGATGAGGGAACACAACGGAGAAGATTTTGAAGTAGGAGTCAGTATCCTCACGCAGGAATCGAAAACATCAGCGCGTAAAACTCTTGAGGCGTTTTGGATCAATTCTAAAGATTCAAAAATGGACTGCAAGGAGGAGTGTCTTGTCATCACACGTGACCTGGCGCCATCCCTCAGGCTGATCCAACGACTTGACACAGGCACAGTTATCGCCCGTGTATTACTCTGTGCGGCTGCTATCGATCAACTAACTTAAACACTTACAACAAATAAACGGTAGGTGTTCAAACGAACCTGTTTCTTATGCGAATACAAATTTATTTGTTAAGTTTTATCTGCTGGGGCCATGAAAGTGTTTGGCTAAGTAGATCGCATTTCAATTTGACCATTCCAGGCTCTGAAGAAGGTAAAAGCGCCGGAACGTCAGCTACTGTATCCTAATAAATTCTATAATAACAACCTCGTGTTTGCTTATAGAAGAAAAACATCGAACTTGGCGTTGTTTTTTTTGCCACAAGAATATTTTAAAGAAGTTTCTGTGGCATACCGTACGGTGTTCCGAACGGTGTGGGAAGCCCAGTGATTAGAGATGTAGTGCAATTCGGGATTAGTCGTTGGCTGGACTAGGAACTGAGCCAACCAAATCCTGTCGTCACTCTGGGCCCAGGTAGCAGACTAGCATAAATATGCAAATAAATGGCGACCAGAATTCAAAAAATATTTATGATGGCGACAAAGTCCTCTAGTGGTGGTTAAACATACATAAGTCTTCAGGGCACTTTCGTAGACGACGGAAGCAAGACAACGAACTGAATAAATGGACGGATAGGATGGTCTGCAGAGTATGTGAAACAAAGTCATTCAAATAAAATGAAATGTAAAGGTGGGCTAAACAATGTTGCACGTGATGTAACTGTCTACCTGGCAGCTTCAAGAAGAAGCTTCAGTTACCACTTAACTAAGAGATTTCATTTGGTGGAAAATCGCCTATTCTTGCACGGAATAACTTCAGCTTTGGATCAAATAACATTGTAGAGAAACACCTACGGTTTGAATGGAACTGCCACCGATGACTCGACGAGGCATGCGACTTACTCACCGATTAAGTGCGCTCGATGAGAAGCAAAAGGAATTATTAAGCAACCGATTTTCTATTAATGTCGAAAGCTACAGCAAAGTCTTAGGCAAAAACGTGAACAACGCAAAAACGGTTGTTGCTGACGAAACCGTTTAGTGTGCGATTCAAATTTAAATTTCCAGCTCTTCTTATTGAGCCTCTGAATTCACTAAGCTGAGTTAAGTGCGAGCTAATGCTAGTCTTTTGAAGTGTTAGGAACGCAAAATCTATCTGAAGGTTAATCATGTAAGCTCGAATCAGGTCATCAAAAGCATAACAACTTGAGGATAATGTGAATGGTCTTACTCTTGCATTAAACTCGATTCCATTTTCGCAAATTCTCACGTATTATGATGACACTTTTCCATTAGACATCATTGTCTCCACTGAATAGTGAAGCGCCATTGTGTGTCATAGAGATTTCCTCTATTCACAGACTTAGTGGAATTACGTCTGAGTACTCAATGATCGGTGAGAAGTCCTCGCCACGGGTTCAACGTCGGCGATAACCGTTATCCATGGCGCCATTCGGGGCCTTTAATCGAGCCGCCAATGTTCATTTTTTATGGTCAAACCGGATGATGCGACTAAGGTTCGTTCCTTTATATTCGATTTAGTGGCTGCCCGAAATAAAAACGAAGGCGCCGGCTCAAACTTTATTGACACTTTCGTCCTGATGTAAAGTATAACCGGAGTAGTAAATGCGGTCGGTCCATAGGCGACACGAAGTGTTGTGAAACCTAAAAGTTCTTTTTTCGGAACGATATGGGTACGCTCTTTAGGCAAACTATGAAGTGATATCGTATGTTTAAATACTTCTGTTTGAATAACATATACTGCAAACTTCGATAACGTAGGCAGTATTTTTGAACAAACGTTAGATTTAATTAAGTTGCCTCTTACTCGAAATGTGGGAAATGTAATCGTAATACTTTCGCAAGGAAAGTTAAGGATTTCCTAAAGGTGTGGCTACAGTAACCATTTAGTATAGTTAATTGTCAATAGAAATAGCTTTCTTTAAACACTTATCATTGGTGGAAATTTAAAAAGTGATATATAAAGAATTTCAGCGACAGGAAAAATCTCGTTCCTTCTGTTTAAGAAGCCCATGACTCGAAAGCGATTCGTTCATCAGTTCAGTTCTGGAATAAAACGTCAAACTATTCAAACATTCAGAACTCTAGTGTGAGATAGTTTTTAAAACGACCGTTATTCAGCCTTGGCAGTAAAATAATCAGCATCTAATCACGATGATACTGAGATATTTGCAAAACTCTGTATTGCAGGTGTCCGCCGTGGTGAACGAACGCGTTATTACCCTTTACAGGAGCTAACGCGTTCATCACCAGACCACGCGGGTCTCTAATATCACCTGTCTTTCAACTAGATTTCTATCCCTATCCTATTCCCGGAAAGGGTAATAGGACGTTTCCCTCCGCAGACACTTGCGGTACGGAGTTTTGCAAATATCTTAGCATCATCTTACTTTCATTGTAGTTATATCACACAGAATGCCCCGTCGTGAAAAATTATAATAGGCAGTAAATAAAACGTTGACTTTGTGAAATCGATATTTATTTAATTTATTGAGCTTACACAAGGTTGGTAAAGAGATTTATTTCGGCTACCGTTTCGAAGCCTTCGTCTTTATCAGAGCCGATGATCCGAGTTGATGGTCGATAGTTGTTCGCCACGTCGATGTGGCGTCTTCGTAGTCGTATCGAGACGGATCCTCCTTAGTGGAATATCGCGCGAATGAGGCATACTCACCCGGCAGCGCTCTTCTATACAGGGCGGTTGTTGTTGATATGACTATCCGTTAATAACAATTTTTTTTCGACGCATAATCCACCCTGCAGTAGTCGGTTTTGTGT